CACAGTTCTGCTGTGACACACATGGGTCACCAGGAGTTGGAATCAACTTGATGGCAGCTGGTAGCTTACAAAACCTTTTCATGTGCATTATCACCTTATAAACCAAAAAACCAAACTCAGTTGCCGTCTAGTCGATTCCAACTCATAGTGACCCTATAGGAGACAGTAGAACTGCCCCACAGGGTTTCCAAGGCTGTAATCTTGCAGAAGCAGATTGTCACATCTTTCTTCCATGGAGCGGCTGGTAGGTTAGAACTGCTGACCTTTCGGTTAGCAGCTGAGTGCTTAATCACTGTACCACTACTTTTATCACCTGATATCACCCTGGAATAAGAGGCTGAAAGGCAGATCCACATCACACAGTCAGTTCGATAGTGGCATCAAAATGCAAAACCGTTTTATAGTCACAAGTAATATGAACATGCCTTCCTGAGCCCCCAGGCCCTCCCCTCATGTCATCCTGGTTTTATCATCCCTCAGTTCACCTCAGAAGACCGAGGCTATCAGCTGAGCACATTTCTTAGGACTGCAAAAACAAGCAGAAAAGTGATTGTTTTAAAGGCAGTATCAAGATGTTCCAAATCAAAATGTTCACATATCCATCCCACAGCCAAACAGTGCCCCAGCTAGGATGTGGAGGACCCACGTCTTCTACTTTGAAACCCCATCTCCTTCCCCTCCTACATGGTGCTGCAGCATTTGGAGTTGGGGAACTCCTGGGGCAGGGCGGGGGCGGGGGGAGTGTGAACCCTTGAGGTGGGGAGGGGTGGTCCTAGCTCTCTAGAGCTAAGCTATAAAGGAAGGCCCCACCTCTAACATGCAGCTGGTTTGCAGGGCATTCAGGCCTATGCCTTGTCTCCCGGGGCCTTGTTAACCTAGAGTACAGTAGGATCAATCAACATTAATGGGGGCTTCCTATTTAGCTGGAAACCCTGGTGGCGTCGTGGTTAAAGAGCTACGGCTGCTAACCAAAAAAGGTCAGCAGTTCAAATCTACCAGGCACTCCTTGGAAACTCTACGGGGCAGCTATACTCTGTCCTATAGGGTCGCTATGAATTGGAATCGACTTGACGGCAATGGGTTTTCTATTTAGCCAGTCTAAAAGAAATGTGAAAAACAAAGAGTGCTGCAGGATTACAAAGCTCTACCTCATAATTTATGGGCCATGCAGTGTGAGGATGGGAGCCCCAGGGGCACAGTGGTTAAGTGCTTGGCTGCTAACCAAAAGATCGTGAACCCACCAGCTGCTTCATGAGAGAAAGATGTGCTTCCGTGAAGATCTGGAAACTCTGTGGGGCAGTTCTACTCTGTCCTACAGGGTCACTGTGAGTCTGAATGAACTCGATGGCAATGGGTTTGGTTTGGTTTTTGGTGCTGTTCTGAAGCACAAGCTGGGGAAAAGGCTGGGGGAAAGAGAGAGATGCTTCTGGCTCCTCGTCTTCTCCACCCACATTCCTGACCACCCCACACACTTTAGGGAGGAGGAAAAGATGATAGAGGAGAGAAATCAAGAGGAAAAGGACAAGAGAAGCCTTCTCTAAATACATGCTGGTGCAGACAATGGGCAGGGAGAATGGGAATCTCCAAGAACTGTTGGTCCCTTCTTGCCCTAGAAGATGTATTTCCACGACGACTCACTTATCGTCCTCTGGGTGTAACTGAACTACCAAGTGGAGCTACCCTTTACAGGGAAACACAGCCTGCTTTTTCAAGTTAAAACCCTCATAGTCTGTGGTTTGTAAGCCACATATGGTGCTGGAAGCTCCCAGAAATAATGATGAAAGAAGATCATTTAAATCTGGACATAGAAGCTTTGTGCAGCTACACTTTCACTTACTTACTCTGCAAATTATGTTAGCTACACTTTATTCCTTGAGTCTTTCTACACGCCCAGTATCACAGGGTGTCTCTCATTTATTCCTCCCAACAACCTTGTGAGGTTAATTCTTATTACCCCCATCTTCCAGATGAAGACATTGATGTTCAGAAAGGTCTGAGGCTCAGTCAATCGTGGAGCTGAATTTGAACTCAGTCTATCCCAGAGCCTGTCTTAACCACTGTACTTCACAACCTCTTGGAGGAAAAGACCAAAAAACAAACCCATTGCCGTTGACTTGATGCCAACTCATAGCGATCCTATAGGACAGAATAGAACTGCCCCGTGGGGTTTCCAAGGAGCGCCTGGTGCATTTGAACTGCGGTCCTTTTGGTTAGCAGCTGAACTCCTAACCATTAGCCACCCGGGTTTCCATGGGTGAGGGGGAAACACTGAAAATAGCAACAGCCCCCTCCCCCTGCCCCGCCCCTTACTCCTTCAGTGATCAACAGAGACAAAAAGTAGAGAAAGCTTCTATTCTAAAGATGTCTGAAACAGCTTTTAAAATTTTAAGTATTTTTTATAACAATCGGATGATCTTTTCTCTAAGAAATATATTAGTATCATAATAAGAAAGGTTTTTAGAGGCACACTTTACAGAAGAAGTGACCCTGAAACCCAGAGAGGAGGCTAAGGACACTTCTCGAGGTCACACTGTCAGTTTGGTGGCAGAACTAAAGCTTAAAAATCAGGGCTCCTCACTCCCTGGCCAGAGCTTGGCTGGGCCCCATCAAGCTGCTTTGTAAGTTATCACTGCTTCTGCCCCAACATGGATGGCTGCTTGAAGGAGGGTGGTGTCGTTTTGTGAGCTAGAGCTTTTATACACAATTTGAATTTACCAGTTTTTAAAAAATGTCCTTCTGTCAGCTTCTGATGAGTTAGTCCTCTGCTTCCCTCTGCCATCTCATCTGGGCTGTTTAACTAGGAGGCTCCTGCTACAGCTCCAGATGTCAGCTGAAGTGGAGATGTTCCTGTCTCTCTCAGTGAAGCAGATGACTATATCCCATAATTTGCTCTGGCCTCCCACCCTAAGAGTGACGCTTCTACTTGCCTGGCTGGCTTCTAAGACACTCCACAATCTGGAACCACCTCACCCAGGTCATCTCTTTCTTTCCTACACCACAGCACACACTCTTCATGCCAGACAGGTCTCCTGAGCTCATGCCTTTCTGCAGCAGAAATATCCTCACTGCTCTCCTCCTTGCAAGCCCATTCCTCAAGACTTCCCTATGTGTTTTGTTAGGTGCCATTGAGTCGGTTCCAACTCTCAGTGACCTTATGTATAACAGAAGGAAATGCTGCCTGGCCCTGCACCATCCTCACAATTGTTGTTATGCTTGAGCCCATTGTTGCAGCCACTGTGTCAATCCATGTTGTTGAGGGTCTTCCTCTTTTTCACTGACCCTCTACTTTACCAAGCATGATGTCCTTCTCTATGTCCCTCCTGATAACATGTAAGGAGCATTCTGACTGCACTTCTTCCACCCCAGTGGTTTGCTTTCCAAGTTCCCTTTACACTTTATATTCTCAATGACATATTTAGCCCTTAACATGTCTCTGCACGTTTCTCCGAATGTAATGCAGGTTCCTTGAGGGAAGGCATGCATGTTTTCATTCGTTCACTAGAGATTTTAAAAGCACTTTATAAGGTGAGATACAAAGAGAAATATAAGCAATAGTTGCTTCCTGTCCTCAAGGAGGAGAGACTCTAATAGTAGACATCTGTCTGGCACATGTCAGCCCTCAACCAAGGTTTGCTATATTTAACTAACATATATAACTGTACTCCTTAAGGTTTTCAATGGCTGAGTTTTTGGATGTAGATCGCCAGGCCTTTCTTCTGAGGTGCTTCTGGATGGGCTTGAACCTCTAACCTTTTGGCTAGAAGCTGACCACGTTAACCATTTGCACCACCTAGGGAGTACAGTTCTACTCTGACACACATGGCATCGCCATGAGTCGGAATCAACTCAACTGGTTTGCCTTTTCTTTTTCCTGTTAACATATATAATGTGTCTCACTGCAATTATTTGGAACCCTGGTGGCTCAGTGGTTAAGAGCTATGGCTGCTAACCAAAAGGTCAGCTGTTTGAATCCGCTAGCTGCTCCTCGGAAATCCTATGGGGCATTTCTACTCTGTCCTATAGGGTTGCCATGAGTCAGAATCAACTCGATGGCCACGGTTTTTTTAATTGCAATGATTTGCTGTCGCTAATGTCCTATGAGAGGTATCAATTGGTATTATAGGGATGGCATCTTGAAAGAGGTGTCACTGAAATTAGGATGTAAGGACAGTGATTTTATTATTATTAAAAATTGGGAGGTTACAGGCAGAAAAAACAGCATCCTTACCCTACCACACATTCCTAAGCACAGCACGTGCCAGGCAGACACCAGACACCAGGTACAGGGGAAAAAGAGCCCAGTGCAGTGGAGTTCTGACCCTGCCCCAACTAGCTTTAGTGAGAGTGGGCAAATTGCTTAACTTCCCTGGGCCCCAGTTTCCCATTCTGAAGTGATTAAGCGGTACAGACTTAAGAGGAAGACCAGGGTTCAAATCATGACTGTGCATGACCTTGAACAAATCATTTGGGGGTGTAGGGTTTAGCCTCAGTTTCCTTCCTATAAATTGGGTAAAATAATTCCTACCATACAGGGTTTTTGTGATGTTTTTAAGAACATATGTAAGGTGCTAAGCACAGTGCCTGTCATTGTTATATTTGTCTCTACAAAAGTGGGGGGTAACAAACCCTAACCTGCCTCCTTTCAGTGCGGCTGCTGGTGGTTTCCCAGACTAGCAGTGTCTTGTCCAGAGTAGGGGCTATTGACAGACTATATGACTCCCAAAGAAAAAAAGTTGAAAGGGCTTCAGATAAAAGTAAAGCGCAGTCGATTGGACGCCCAATAAATGTGCTCCCTCGAACAGATTTAATGCAGCGCAAAATCTTTGCTAATTCTCGCCAAACATGCCTTAGAAGCGGACTGGTTTTTAAACAGTCTTTTCCGCCTCCAAACCCAAAGACAGACGCATGGCTCAGCCCCGTGGCGGGCGTGATAGGTGTGCTATACGTGGGGGAACGGGAGGCTCATCCCCACCGCCTTACTCCCACTTCCCCCGGGCTAGGCTCCTCGGACGTCCACACTTAGTTTCCCCTCTCTGCTCAAGGCGCGGGGGCCCGTTGCGCAGGGTCATTCCCGGCTCTCGTCCCCTGGGCCCCGCCCGGGTGCCCCCGCCCCTGTAGACCCCTTCCCCTCAGCCGCCTACCGGCCGCCACCCCCGGCCTCCGTAGACGCCGCCCGGCCACTACCCTCCCTTCGGCCATCTCGGCCGCCCGCCCTGGCCCCCGTAGGCTCCGCCCGGCTGCCCGCTTCCTCGGTCGCCTCCCCCACCTCAACCTCCAGTCCCGGCCTCCAGGGACCGCCCGGCCGCCCCGCTCCCCTCGGCCGTCTCCCCCACCTCGACCTCCTATCCCGGCCCCTAGGGACCCGCCCGGCCGCCCCACACCCCTCGGCGGCCTCCCGGACCTCGATTTCCAGTCGGACCCCTAGGAACAGCCGCCCGGCCGCCCTCGTTTGCACTCCGCGGGTGCCCGCGAGCCCCGCCCCGGGCCCAGCCCTCCCTTCTTTGGGGTCTTGGCGGCAGGAAGGAGGGGCCGCCCGGCGACCCGGCGTGCGTGGCAAGCTCGCCCGGCTCGGCTCGCTTGGCCTCCCTTCCCGGGAGGCGGGGTCGGCGCCGCGGCGGCTGTAGCGGCGGAGGAGGCCCCCTCCTCCTTCCTCCCTGGGCCTGGCCTCCTGCCTCGCCCGCCCGCCCTCTCTCTCTCTCTCTCTCTGTCTCTCTCTCGGCCCCTCCGACGCCGCCAGTGCCCGCGTGCTGCTCTCCCAGCCCCGGGGGAACACGAGCAAGTTTCCCGGGCCGCGCGCCCCGCTCGCTCGCGTCCCAGCCCGCGGCCTC